CGCCGGCCAAAGCATAGCTTATTTATTCAAATCAGCTGGGGAAATGCAGAACAATGGAAAATCAATCAATAGCCTGACAGAATTCTTCATCTTCATATAACGTTAGCCAATATATTAAAACACAAGCCAAAAACAATAGGAAGGTTTATCACGAAATAGCATTAAAACGGCTTTTAAAAACGTACTTCGTGTAGGCTATATCGTCTAAAAGCAAAATGCAACAATGCCCATTTTACTTACTCAGACCGTGCGTTATTTGTTCAGTGAAATTATCAACGTGGTCTGGTGAAAGACTGTACCTGAGGCGATTAACAATAAAATTCCTGCACTTGAAAAAACGCGCTCGGCAGGAACTGAAGTCGCTTTGTGCGGAGAGTGGAAGCTAAAGCGCGCTTTGCAGGACATGGAGAAGCCAGCGCGATCACTTGCGTTTTTTTTTTCAGTGGATACACCGTCATATTTGCTCATAAAGGTAAGAGTAATACATAATTCGTAGCTGTAAAGGGTCTACTTTTATTTGTGTGCACTCACAATATCAACAAAACGTTGTGCTTTCATTTAAAAATGAACCGAAACTCAGCGAATACATGCCTCACAGACATGATAAATATATCTATAGAAAGCTTTAAATGAAGACGGCTTTTCTGCACTAGGTATGTTTTGTACAGCAGTTATTGTTCATTCTAAATTAATTTTTTAATGTAGAATAGGTGTTACATAAATACATGAAATGTAGAACATAAAAAAGTGCTGGTGGCTCGTCTGCCAGTGGGTGCCCATACTGACGCATAAAAGTGAAACTTGTCTTTCGCATGGTCATTTTTGAACTCGCCGCAACTGACACGAAGAAAACGCATGTGAGGTCTGAGGTAAAAATGTCAGTCCGAGGTAGCTCTTATCCATGAAAGAGACTGTGATCATTGTTTTCAGTGCCTGAAACTCCTCTTTAGCTAGATCTTGTTCACATCCATTCCTAAAAATAAAATGAGAGACAGTTAACACTGTGGCTAACACAACCCGATCAAGGCTATTCTTAAGAGATTGGCTCAGCTCCATAGAAGTTACCTTTCTAGGACAGGAGAGAAATGCTTTAGCAGAAAATCAAGCTCTTCTGCACCGTAGTCCAAGAGTTTCTCTTTCTCAGTTGGCCAGGAGTCATGATTAAAGATGTTGAAGCATGTCACTGCTGTAGGTGCTTGGCAGTAGGTGTTTCATGCATGCTTCCCACTGTGCCTGTCAGCACAAACAATAAAAAAAAATAATAATGATAATAATTGTAATACTTTTGATACTGCAGAATGTCCAATAAAGAAAAACTTATTACCTAAAAGGCTACCAAATCTGTTTTGAAGGTGCTTAGTGGAATTCACAATATCTTTTACTCCCTGATGCAGTTGTGGAGATTTGATGTAGATGCTCTCATTTTCTGCCAGCACTGTGGCTTCACAATACGAAAGTGGGACATCCTGAAATTATAATATTAATTTACACTCATTATGTAATCAAACAACAACACTTACTGTTTTATTATTATTAGCATATGTTACATAAAAAAACGGGATAACTACCTGAAACTTGTAGAATGGTACTTCATTCTGTGTGTGCCATTCCTTGCTGCTGCATGTAACAAATTAGTTTATAATATCACATTATTCAAACAAAGCATACTTTTAAATTTTAATGTTGATATAAACAACATCATCAAGTAAATAAATTATTTTCATTATTTAACAGGGCTGCCAACTTTTGGTAATTGAATAATTTCATTGTGTTTCTCTTAGGGAAAATATTTTCATGATTTGGTTCATAAGCTCGAGTTATGATTACAATCTCAATTCAATAAAGATTCATTTGGATAAATATCAGGTACAGTAATTTTTCTAAAGGAAATAAATCTCTCTTAATGCTGTAAACTATGCAGGGAACCCTGTTAGCTGGTATTATTATTAAAGGTTAAAACTATACTAAGCAGGGAACCCTGTTAGCTGGTATTATTATTAAAGGGTTAAAACTATCAATTTATTGTATAACATAAAAAAGTGATTTTTACAATAATACATTTTTTTATATATATATTAAAAAATATTTAATATAACGCAACAGAGCATAATCTCTGATATTGAACTGTAAATTCCATTTGTAAATTCATTAGTTTAGATTTCTTGAGCACTTACCTTGAGCATTGGCATGCTGAACCTCAACGTGCCCGATCAGGATGTTAACTGGTTTTCCCATTCTGATTAGCCGTGCATAAATAATCTGGCACTCCTTCATAGACACATCTGGGTCTCCATCAATCATGAACGATATAAATGGGGCTGAGGCAAGTTCATGCGCTGTCTTGCTTTTCATTGTGTCTGCAATGACACCGATGAATTGAGCGCATGCGGTGTCATTTGTGTACGTTGGATTGATGGAAATTCAGTTTTTCTTTTGAAGAATTATCTCTGACCTAAACTTTGTGAAGGGCATCTTGCTTTTTGCAATATGATAAGCCGTGTTGAACTTTGCCAAAAGTTCAGTCATCTCGGAGGCTCGACTCGCAGCCTCTTGTCGCTTAAAGCCGGCGGCGAGAGGGCCTGTGCTTCGTGCCATACAGGCATCTCTGCAAAGTCTATGTTTTATGCTCTCAGTGTGGAGCTTTATAGATTCATGTTTGAAGTTTGAACACCCTTTTGCAAATTTTGTGTTTCCTGCGCTAGCTCCACACTGTGTACAATATACACAATACATTTCATTACTCTCTTTTTTGTACCTTAGCCACTCAAATTCTCGCAGCCATTGTGTACGGAATTTAACACATTTCTTTTTAGCTGCAAATCACCAGCAAAACCTTTACAGATCTATCAAAACATCTCATACACATGAAGGTTTGATTAAAAGCCCAAAGTTTCATAAACAAGAGCTCAATCTACAGAGTTAGCTTACCTCGTCTGAAAACGGTTGAGATGCTAACGAACTTTTTCGAAGAGGCTAAACCATTTCTATAAAATAAATATTCAATAGAAACATGTCAATTACAAGTAAGAAACGTGTCAGGAACGTTTGTATGTAATATTTGTGTGATTTTAGGGACTATTTTAATGTTGATATAAACAACATCATCAAGTAAATAAATTATTTTCATTATTTAACAGGGCTGCCAACTTTTGGTAATTGAATAATTTCATTGTGTTTTTATTAGGGAAAATCTTTTCATGATTTGGTTCATAAGCTTGAGTTATGATTACAATCTCAATTCAATAAAGATTCATTTGGATAAATATCAGGTACAGTAATTTTTTTAAAGGAAATAAATCTCTCTTAATGCTGTAAACTATGCAGGGAACCCTGTTAGCTGGTATTATTATTAAAGGGTTAAAACTATCAATTTATTGTATAAAATAAAAAAGTGATTTTTACAATAATAATTTTTTTTTATATATATATTAAAAAATATTTAATATAACGCAACAGAGCATAATCTCTGATATTGAACTGTAAATTCCATTATCTTTACAATTAGTTTAGATTTCTTGAGCACTTACCTTGAGCATTGGCATGCTGAACCTCAACGTGCCCGATCAGGATGTTAACTGGTTTTCCCATTCTGATTAGCCGTGCATAAATAATCTGGCACTCCTTCATAGACACATCTGGGTCTCCATCAATCATGAACGATATAAATGGGGCTGAGGCAAGTTCATGCGCTGTCTTGCTTTTCATTGTGTCTGCAATTACACCGATGAATTGAGCGCATGCGGTGTCATTTGTGTACGTTGGATTGATGGAAATTCAGTTTTTCTTTTGAAGAATTATCTCTGACCTAAACTTTGTGAAGGGCATCTTGCTTTTTGCAATATGATAAGCCGTGTTGAACTTTGCCAAAAGTTCAGTCATCTCGGAGGCTCGACTCGCAGCCTCTTGTCGCTTAAAGCCGGCGGCGAGAGGCCCTGTGCTTCGTGCCATACAGGCATCTCTGCAAAGTCTATGTTTTATGCTCTCAGTGTGGAGCTTTATAGATTCATGTTTGAAGTTTGAACACCCTTTTGCAAATTTTGTGTTTCCTGCGCTAGCTCCACACTGTGTACAATATAGTATACACAATACATTTCATTACTCTCTTTTTTGTACCTTAGCCACTCAAATTCTCGCAGCCATTGTGTACTGTGTACGGAACATTTCTTTTTAGCTGCAAATCACCAGCAAAACCTTTACAGATCTATCAAAACATCTCACATCTCATAAGGTTTGATTAAAAGCCCAAAGTTTCATAAACAAGAGCTCAATCTACAGAGTTAGCTTACCTCGTCTGAAAACGGTTGAGATGCTAACGAACTTTTTCGAAGAGGCTAAACCATTTCTATAAAATAAATATTCAATAGAAACATGTCAATTACAAGTAAGAAACGTGTCAGGAACGTTTGTATGTAATATTTGTGTGATTTTAGGGACTAAACTTACCTGAAAGCAGTGAAAACAGCAGCGAGAGACAGAGTTTACTGTTGGTGGTTGTGTTGACGCCCCGTTTCTTTCTTTCAACTCTGCTCCCAGCTCGTGCAGAGCTCAACGCACACACAGCATTTACACAAATAAACATCTAGAGTTAAAACATTACATTAATAATTTACAGTCTCAAACAATTATTATTCAATAATGAATTTAAACTCAGTTTTGTAGTTGAAAAGCAACAGAAACAATAGCTCACCGTAGAAACGGATTCTTTCTGGTAACGTTAGCCTAACAACAGTGAAAAACACGGCGAAAAAGCAGTTAGGACTTCGC